ACTGGGTATATTCGATCAGAAAAAAACTTTAATTCTTTAGGTCAGTATTGCAGGTTTCTGTTAAACTAATCTTTTGTTTGTCATACTCTTTCACATTGAAAGTTCTGTGTCATCACCTTCTGTCTTCATAATTAGCTATGTTATGTTTTAACCTTTAACATTTCAGTAAAATGTTTTTAGAAGTGCATCCATTAGTTGAATTAAAAAGGTAAAACCCCTCATCTTTTCAAGTATATCAGTACTTATTTAAGTCTAATAATTGTGTTTTCAGTAATTCTGTTTTGAGTGTCGTAAAATCATTGGTCTAATCTTGCTACATTTTTAAAAAGAAATAGCATTGTTAGAACTGAAGTTGTCCCAAAGATTCTGTAGACTTTTTTGCTAACGTGCCTGGAAGCAAGCAAAGGGTAATGCTGTAAGCACTGAAAAGTGCAATTCTGACATTAAAACCAAAGCATTTTAAAAACAAAGATAATGTCGCCTTTCCAACTTTGTAATGGAAATCACATTCTGTGATGTGGTGGTATGCCTTGCTTTATTCTGTATTCAGAATTCAGATGACCTTTTCAATACTGCTATTCTGCTTTTTATTTTTCAGAGACACTCATTTCGGCAATTCAGGAGGACATTGAAGAGGCAAAAAGACAACTAGATTTACCAGAGCACCTTAAACTCAAGGACAACTTCTTTCATCTACCAGAAGGGAAAAACCACTGAGCAAAAAACCTTTTTTTTTTTTTTTTTTTTTTTTTTTTTTCCCCCCTTGTTATAAACTATTCTTGGCCTAGTTACATATCATATATCGTTTGATACAACATAGACTTGTGTGGTTGATCTGTGTGGAATTAATTCTCTTCACAGCAGCTTGTATGGTGCTGTGTTTTAGATTTGTGACCGAGCATCCTAATGCTTTATCTGTACCCTAACAGTGTTTGCATAGTGTCAAAGCCTTTTCTGTTTCTTGCTCTGATTCAAGTGCATCCATTTGGGCTTTGCAAGAGGTCAGGAGTGGACACAGACATGCAGATGACATGAACTAACTAAAGAGATGTTCTTTATCAGTGTCATGCTCTGCAATAAAATGGAAGGAGAGTGTGGTTCAGGTAGGTTAGCCATCTTCTCTTGGGTAGCAGCTTGGCAGTGGTCTACCCATGCAAGATGGTGAGTAATAAACATTTTTCTCTTATTACGCTTCTTTGCTTGTTAAATTATCTTGACTCATGAGTTTTCCTGCTTTTCCTTTCCTCTTTTCTTTCCCACTGGGAGCGAGCAGGACTGAGTGAGGGATATTTCTCTGCCCACCGGGGTTAACCCATAACTGCTTGTTTGTGTGTCTGTGATTGGAACTAAAGGCTGAAGCCACACAATATGATTTAAGTTTTCTTGTGTTGACTGGTCATGAAACAAGTCGTGCAGAAGGAGGTGGAAACTATTTTAGGTCCTTACAGATACAAATCTGTATCGTACTAATTGTTATAGAGATTTTAACACATGTGGAACATGACCAAAGTTAATTCTGACCTCTGCTTGCTCCAAGTATAGACAGTTAAAACATAAATGAAGATTTTCAGTTTTTCACAGGCAGAATATCATTCTAAACTGATTTCCCAGTTTTATGTCATCACATCTGACACATCAAGCAGCTTAGAATAAATGAGTCAAAAATTGACTTATCATGCAGGAAGCCGAAGATTGGATAACAATATCAAGAATAATTCACTGTAATTCTTAATTTTGATTGCAATTATTTATTAGCCTTGATTGAAATTAAGGAAGTCTCTGTTAGTTACTGAATTACTGGAATATGAATACTTCTGCCTAGTTGACTGCACATACTACAATGTGTAATGCAAACATCAACCTTCTGATGAAATGTTTCTTTAAAGTTCTGGAAATTAATGATGTGGAGAAAGCTAATGTATGTCAAAGTTTTAGGATGAAAGGATAATGAACAAGTCTTAGCAATGTTTCTAAGACAGAGAAGGTAACCAAAACAAATTTGCATTTCAGCTGCTGCTGCCTTAGATAAGAAGAAACTTTGGATTAACTATTATACTGACAGTGAAATGACTCAGTAAAATGTTGAATTTAGAATGTAAAGCACAAAAGTATCTTTATCTGCACAAAGTAGAAGCATAATCCAGACTTTTCACTGTAGATCAGTGGAAGTCTTCAGAAATTTTTAGAATAATGTACCTTTAGTAAGTACTGAGTTTTTAATATAAAAGTTGCCTTTTCTGTGGCGTTCTCTTTTCTGAAATGTTTACACAGGTAAGTGAAGGATGTACTGTCAAAATTCATTATATCTTGAGAAAAATCTGTTAAAATATAAATACAGGTGGTAGAGGACACTATATACTTGGAAGCCTGTGCTTATGAATCTACTCCCCCTGCTCTGTGACACAATTTTCTGACTTTCCTGCTACTTTCCTCCTATTTTATTCTTTTATTTCACTCTAGCAGTTTAGAGAGCTTGGACAAAAAAAAGCTTCATGAGAATTTCTTGAGGCAGTATCAGCATGCCAGGAGTTTAGTTCAACTCCTTTTATTTAAACTTCATGCCATTACCATGGGATACTTTTGGAAAAGACATTGAACAACGCAAGGAATCTTTATTGCTGCATAGAACTTTAGCAGAACTCACTGATAGGAATTGCTCATCATTCCTGTTGATGGCAAGAAAATGGAAGTACAGTTCTTGGGGGAGGAAAGAGTGATTTCTTAATAAGAACTTACTGGACTAAAGTATGTTTTGGCCTGCATTGCTAAGGTTGTTTACTGATTTAACTCTCCAAAGACACTGACAGTTTTTCTTGTCTCTTATCTGGATATTTTCAGCATGCTTTAATCTTCTTAGTAAGAAAACATAAAAAAAAAATATTTGCATGAAGTAAAAAAAAAAAAAAAAAAAACAACAAAAACCAAAACAACAGTTTAATGGACTTTACTGGATTGCATATTGGAAATATATGGGAATTATCTTGAAAGTAGTAGCAGCTCTTTTTTTCCTCTCTAAAATAGGGAGATGATGAGGGGATATTTTCACTTTTTTTTTTTTTTTTTTTTTTTTTTTTTTTTTCCCCTCCAGTGGGATGCATTCTTGAGTTTGTAACAATGCCAAGTTCTTATTTCATATTTTATACTTCTGGAGGAACGACGGAAGCCATGCTTGTCAATGAAGTATGTTTTAAAAGTGTTTGAAGAATAAATCTTTATTCATTGTAGCATTATGTCTAAGCTCATTGTTTTGTTTTGTTTTTTTCTTTTGCCATGAACTTCCTGTGTCAGTTGTGAAAACCATGGTGCCTTAAGCTGGTTGTCTCAGTAATGCTGCTCTGTAACTGCTAGTGAATGTTACTATACAAAAATCTGCTCATTGTTTTCGGAACAGCTGTGCTTGATGATAGAAAGCAGTTGCAAAGGGGAAGTTTGAAAAACTTATTTTGCTCAGAGCTTTAACCTAAAGTGTGAAGAATATTAACAGTAAAACAATAGACTCTGTGTTTGTCTTCACATTAGAGGAAATGTAATTGCATTCACTTGGTTGAGTGTACCTATTTGTGCATTATTTAAAATCAGATATTTTATATAACTTTCTAAGTTCAATTCATGATCCCTATTACAGTATAAATTTAATGATGTGTTCTATTTTCGTATTATGTGCAGATAACTTGAATTTGTTGTGGTACTGTACTATTAATAAGAGAATGTAATTAAAAAAATTGTAATGCTGCTTGCAGATTTTCTGATTGATTTTTACTGTGCGTATAATCTGCATATTCTTTAGCATAGAATCATAGAATCACAAGGTTGGAAATGACCTACAAGATCATCTAGTCCAACCATCTCCTCATCACCATTGCCACCACAAGCACTAAACCACATCACGCAGCACGTCATCCAGATGCCTCTTGAACTCTGCCAGGGATGGCGACTCCACCACCTCCCTGGGCAGCCATTCCAGTGCCTGACCACTCTCTGAGAGAAGAAGTTCTTCCTTATGTCCAACCTAAACCTCCTCTGACACAACTTGTGGCCATTTCCCCGTGTCCTGTTCGTTGCCTGGGAGAAGAGGCCAAATCCCTCTTCACCACAGCCTCCCTTCAGGAAGTTGTAGAGTGCAATGAGGTCTCCCCTGAGCCTCCTCTTCTCCACACTGAACAATCCCAGCTCCCTCAGCCACTCTTCATAAGACTTTTTCTCCAGACCCCTCACCAGTTTTGTTGCCCTTCTCTGGACACGTTCCAGGACCTCAACATCTTTCCTGTAGTGAGGAGCCCAAAACTGAACACAGTACTCGAGGTGCGGCCTCACCAGTGCTGAGTAGAGGGGGGTGATCACCTCCCTGCTCCTGCTGGCCACACTATTTCTAATGCAGGCCAGGATGCCGTTGGCCCTCTTGGCCACCTGGGCACACTGACGGCTCATGTTCAGCCGAGCATCAACCAATGCCCCCAGGTCCTTCTTTTCTTCACACTCATGCAGCCACTCATCCCCCAGCCTGTAATGCTGCATGGGTTGTTGTGCCCAAAGTGCAGGACCCGGCACTTGACCTTGTTGAATCTCATCCCATTCACCTCAGCCCAGCGGTCCAGCCTGCCTAAATCCCTCTGAAGGGCCACCCTATCCTCAGGCAGATCGACACCACCTCCCAAGTTGGTGTCATCTGCAAAGTTACTGAGGGTGCACTCAATGCCCTCATCTAGGTCATCAGTAAAGACATTAAACAAGATGGGCCCCAGTACCGACCCCTGGGGGACACCACCTGAAATGGGTCGCCAGCTGGACTTGACTCCATTCACCACAACCCGCTGGGCACGGCCCTCTAGCCAGTTCCTTACCCAAAGAAGGGTAGACCTGTTCAGACCACAGGCAGCCAGTTTCCCCAGAAGAAGCCTGTGAGGGACCGTGTCAAAGGCTTTGCTGAAGTCTAGGAAGACTACATCAACAGCCCTTCCCTCATCTGGCAGACTGGTCACCCAGTCATAGAGGTTGGTCAAGCATCACCTGCCTTTCACGAACCTGTGCTGGCTGGGCCTGATCCCCTGGACACTGCGTACATGCTGTGCAATCTCACCCAAGATGATTTGCTCCCTAACCTTTCCCGGTACTGAGGTCAGGCTGACAGGCCTGTAGTTCCCCGGATCCTCCTTATGGCCCTTCTTGAAGATGGGAGTCACATCAGCAAGCCTCCAATCCTCTGGGACCTCACCAGTTAACCAGAAATGCTGACAGATGGCTGAGAGGGGCTCAGCAATCACTCCTGCCAGCTCCCTCAGCACCTGTGGGTGCAGCCCATCCAGTCCCATGGACTTGTGACAGTCCAGATGGAGGAGAAGCTCTCTGACTGTCTCCACCTGAATTGCTGGGGGCGATTCAGGCGATTCATATACTGAAAGGTACTGCAGAATTCTTCAATTGCGCTGCTACTTTCAGTTTGAGGTGGCAAAACTCTTCATCTTGCTTAGAAATGTTGTAGCATAACATCTATGTTTCAGATGCTGCAGTGTTTTTTTTATAATTAAGGCAACATACGAACGCCAAGTCAAGCATGAAGATCGTTCAAGTTGTTAGAGTTCAAGCAATACAAGTATTACTGTAGTTTCAAGTACTTTTTAAAAATTAAGCTTGTGTTTTTTCATGCAATGCGCTTTTTGATTGACTGCCACCTCCCAGAGTCTATTACTCTTGTGGTAGATTAATCAGTGCGAGAAAGACAGTGTAAGAATTGTTTTGAATGCTAATGGTCTTGTTTGGATAACTGACCTTAATCTGTTTAAGTTCTGATGACCTGAAGAACTCATGCTTGGTAGCATATTAAAATGCAGCATGTTCAATATCTTCCAGCCCTGTTAAGTATTTTTATTGATGCTCTGGATGAGGGGTGAGTTTGCAGAAGTCATCAATGTGGGGGAACTATTGATCTGCCTGAGGGAAGAAAGGCTCTACAGGGGGATCTGGACAGGCTGAAATGATGGGCTGAAGCTGACCATATGAGGTTCAACAGGACCTGTGACTTTTGTTAGGGACCCTAACATTGCTATAGGTTTGGGGCAGAAAGTTGCACAGAGTAAAAGGACTTAAGGGTGTTGGTCAATGCTCAGCTGAAGATGAGCTAGAAATCTGTCCATCTGGCCAAGAAGGTCATCCAGACATCATCAGACATCAGAAATGACTCAGCCAGCGGGACCAGGGAAGTGATCGTTCCCCTTTACTCAGTTCTGGTGAGGCTGCACATTGAGTTCAGTTTTGTGCTCCTCAATACAAGAAAGACTTAGAGGCCTTGAAGAGTGTCCAAAGAAGGGCAATAAAACTGGTGAAGGGTTGGAGCACGAGTCTTATGATGAGCAGCTGAGGGAACTGGGGTTGTTTAATTTGGAAAAAAGGAGGGTCTCTACAACTACCTGAAAGGTAGCTAGTGACAGATGAGAGGTAACAGCCTTAAGTTATGTCAGAGTAAGTTCACGTTGGGTCTTAGGAAAATATATTTCTCAGAAAGAGTGATCAGGTACTGAAACGGGCTGCCCAGGGAAGTGGTAAATTATGTATAATCACAAAACTTCTGTAGGTGAACTTAGCACTGAAAGACATGATCTACTTTTATGTCTACAATACCAGATTTTGATAACTTTGGTTGTTCTTTTAGATGGCTATTTCCTGAGCGCTATATAGCAGAAAGCCTTTTGAATACTTATTCTGCTGTAGACCATCAAGAATTCTTGGAAATAGTTTATTTGACTTCTTATCTGTGAGAATGACTGCTTTGGTGTATAGTAGAAAGATTATTGCCAATATTACTATTAAATACATTTTTGTTTAAGGAGGGTTCTGACATTGATTTGGTCTAGCATGCTTAGCACAATTAGGTGTCATATTCCTCTGCAAATCTTTGTAAGGGTGATTGCCTAAAAGATTCTGGAAGGAAAAATGTGCAGAGATTGTTTAAACTAGTTAAAATTAAACTGTTTCAAAAGTAACCCATCTGTTTATTTGTTTGCTTGTTTGTTTGTTGGCGCATGTGCATTTTTTTTATCTAGGACTTATGGGAGATATGTCCTCAGAATGTCATGACCTCCAACTGGATCTGTATTCTTTTTCAAAATCTAAAACTACTTTGTTCTCTTAGAAGTCAGATAGAAAGAGTTGCATCCTCTTCTTTCGTTCTTGTTCACTTGTTTAAACATTCATCTAGGTCAGGTCAAAAGTCCATCTGCTACAACTGCAAACAAATCAAACCTGTATCTTGAAACACATTAATCTGTCCCTGGTCTCATAGGGGAAACTTTCTCTCACTCTTTCATGTTGTTTATATGTTGATCTTCATGTAACCTTTATGTGATATCCCTGAATTCCCACCACAAAAGAACGTAATAGACTGTGGTGATGTGGATATGCCATAAAGACTTCTTTTTTGTATTAGATGCAGTGGACTCTTCAGTGTACCTCAGAATTTGTCATGGATGAAGCTGTTCTACTAGCAGTGTCTACTGACTGTAAGTGTAGACATAAATGTTAAATCCTCAAGTACGTAACACTCAGGTTTTTTAATGGCTCATCACTGGGGCAAAGTATCAAAGTATCCAGTTGTTCTACTGGTTTTTTTGTTTGTTTATTTGGTTTCTTTTGTTTGTTTTTTTCTTTTTTTTTTTTTTTTCCTGGAACTGATATGAGGTATTGAATACCAAATCGTATCAGAATTATTTTGTAATTAATATGGTCTATATAGGACTATATCCTTTTTTCCTAATTTGCTTGTGTTTTTCTGAAATAAGAAAGACATAAAATAAACAAAAAGTTGTATTTCCTAGTACGATAGCTAGAAGAGTTATATTATCTACTGTCCCAGGATATTATTTGGATATATGTGACCTCCTAGGATTTTTTTAATTGGGAAGAGTTTTATAAACATTGCTGACAATGGCAGTGACAATACAACTAATTACATAGCTTAGGATACTGACTTCATGTATTGGTTATCTTGTTATGGCAGAGAATTTATTTTGCTTTATTTTTTTCTGTCTCAGATACCCACATGCTGGGTGTCTTTTTCTGCAAAACTTTCGAGGTTTGTGGACAGCTTGCTTTTACATAGTATAAATGACTAAGTGATACAGTGCTTTTGAGCTGTTTGTAAAATATCCCCCTGTTCCTCATCAGGCTGTATGTCTTATTACTTGAAGTTCAGGCTTGAAATCACATGTACACATAAGATGCTGAGGGAAATTGAAAAATTCTATCATTAGTTCTAGTTTATTTTCTGGTGACCTAAGGATAACCAGATTTTTTCTATAGGTAAAATTTAAACTTGGAAATCTGATTGTAAATACATTTTTAATGCAAAAATATGTATTTTGGGGGGATATTTGGACTGGGTGCTTTTATGGGACTTTTCCAACCTTGGTGATTCTATGATTCTATGATTTCTCTTGAAGCACGCATTATTTTTCATGAGAAAATCAAATGCCTCAATTTCCATTTGAAAGACTACTACATTAACTGTTTTAAACTCGTTTACCTTCCTATTTTAGTTTGAAACTCCTATCTAAGTCTTCAGCCACTACTGCAGTCCACATGCAAGACCAAGAAGCAAATACGTGGTAAGCTGTGAAAGTGGTTTAAAGGTCACAGCCAGAGGGTGGTGCTCAATGGCTCTATGTCCAGATAGAGGCTGGTGATGAGAGGTGTCCCCAGGGGTCTGTCTTGGGACTGGTACTCATTAATTATCACTGACACAGACAGTGGTATCAACTGCATTCTCATAAGTTTGCTGATGATACCAAGCTGACTGGTGCAGTTGATATGGCAAAAGAAAGGGCTGCTATCTAGAGGTACATTGATAAACTCGAACAATGAGTCGTTGTGAACTTAAGGAGTCTCAACAAAGCAAAATGCAAGGTTTTGCACTTGGGTTGGGGTAATCCCAGATATGTATACACATTGGGAGAAGAACTCCTTGAAAGTATCCCTGCTGAGAAGGAGTTACGGGTCCTGGTAGATGAAAAACTTAACATGAGCCAGCAGTGTGTAGATGGCACAGAAGGCCAACAGTATCCTGGGCTACTTCACAAGAGGGGTGGCCAGCAGGGTAGGGGAGTTGATTGTCCTCATCTACTCTGCCCTTGTGAGGCCCCATCTGGAGTACTGCATCCAGGCCTGGGGCCCCCACTACAGGAAAGATGTGAACCTTTTGGAGAGGGTCCAGAGGAGGCTAGGAAGATGATCAGAGGGCTGGAACATCTCTTCTTTGAGGACAGGTTGAGGGAGTTGGGATTGTTTAGCTTGGAGAAGACTGTCGGGAGACATCATTACTGCCTTCCAGTATTTAAAGGAAGCTTATAAACAGGAAGGAAATCAACTTTTTGCTTGGGTAGATAGTGAAAGGTCAAGGGGGAATGGTGTTAGCCTAAAGGAGAGGAGATTTAGATTAGATGTCAGAGAAGCATTTCACTGAGAGGGTGGTGAGATGCTGGAGCAGGCTGCCCAGAGAGGTTGTGGAGACTCTGTCCCTGAAAGTGTTCAAGGTTGAATGGCATCCTGGGCAATCTAATCTAGTACATGATCTAATGATTGGCAACTCTGCCCACAGCAGAGGAGTTGGAATTTGATGATCATTGAGGTCCCTTCCAACCCAAGCCGTTCTGTGATTCAACTAAAACGTAGTTTTGTCAGGAACAGCCCACAGATGAAGGAACCTTGGGTCTCAAGATACCTGAACAGTGGCTCCTTCAATCCACTTTCCTTCACTTCTTTTCTAGCAAAACTTCAGGGTGAAGTCATGGAAGACTAAAATTTTTCTGTGTTCTCTGGAAAGAGGGAGGCTAAAGAACCCTGATAATCTACTCATTCCTTTGAATAAATATACCTGAATTACATGAGAGGTAAGTGGTGGTAGACCTGCACAAAAGATGCAATTTTCACAAAATCTTTTTCAAAGAGCTTTACTACTAGTAATCAGAAATAGTTGCCTAGCAGAAAGGTGGATAAAATAAAAGTAATCTGAGAAGAATGAAGGTCTTTAGAAACTCCATGGATTAATAGGAATGGCAAGAAGATACAGAGTGAAGCCTGAGGGCAGGAGAAAACTGAGGGGCATTGATGTGAGGAAAAAAGACTCAGAAAACGAGAAAGCTGTCATGGTTTTATGATTTTTGATTATCGGTATTCCACATCATAACATCATATAGTGCACTGGGAGTTAAAGAGTGCACTGGGAGTTAAACTGCTCCATGTCTGGATACTTGTTCCAGAAGAGAAAAAAACATTCCCCAGAAGATTATTTGTTGTTCTGTTATCATTTTTGTTCAGGGGGAACAGATACAAAGCCTTGGAAGTTCACCTGACATGCTCTTTTCCCTTTTTCAGCTCTCCTGCCTGCTGCTCGACCCAACTATGATGAGCCCTTTCCACCTTTTGAACATTCTCTCTCATTACATTTGATTTATTAACTTCAATTCTAATTATATTGTATTATAGTGTGTTATTTTGCATTCCGATACCATATTTAGTAAATTAGTTTGTTTCTCCTCAGATCATTGCCTCTGTTTTTAATTATTCAGGGTCTCCTGCTTCCCCTTTCTGGAGGCACGGATCTACAGATCCTCCACCCCACTAGTCATGGAACCAGGAATCAGCCCATAAACCATTGACAAAAGTGGGAGTTTACTGAAGATCAGAAGAATTCAGGCACATTAGAAAAAAAGAGCTAGAGAACAGATAGTCAGATGCAAGAGTTTCTATAGCAGCCTTGTGTTTTTGAAATATACTAGCTCTCTTTGGAACATCTTTCTTACTACGGTGGGTGGAGGAGGAAGTAAGACAGAGAATTGGCTTTGTGGGTATATGCACCCTTTGGCTTATTCAAAATAGTTAACCATTCAGAGTACAGTAAAATTCAAGAAACTTCATTAAAATGATGGAAATGTTAGAGTGATTGCGTACACAAGGTACTCACTGCATTTGTCAAGTGATTTCTAAATGCTCAGGTGCAGCTATGATTAAGCCTTTGAAATGTGATGAGGAGATTCCAGGTTTTCATAGCAAATTCTTACAATTGTTAAATACATCATTAACAATGATGACAAAGCATGTTAATCCAAACAAGGTTAGGAGAGCAAAATAAGGCAGTCTTTCATTCAATATGACCTTTCATTCTGATTGTTCACTCTCCTTTCCCCCTCCCCCCCACCTCCCCCCCCCCTTTTTTTTTTTTTCAGAACTACTTCAGAGAAGAACTTGAAATAAAGTGCCAGGTAAGATGTATCTTTCCAGAGCACCTTCCTCTTGTGAAACTTTTGATAAATGTAGGTCCTTGCTTTGACTTTTTTGAACTCACGTAATTTTGCATTCTTGTTTAAGATGTAAAGATTTAAAGATTAAAATTCAAAGTGGAAACAATGGTCTTCTTAGAACTTCTTTGAACATACAGATGGAAAGATCTGAAGGTATTTATAAATACTTTTTGCAAGAAATACCACTTAGGAATCAAGCTATAAAAATTAGATATTCTCACACACTTTCTTTGCAGCCATTAAATGTAGTTGATTTACAGGTCCACAGTTATTTCTAGTTACAAAGCTCCAAAGGAGCTGAAAAGGAAAGAGGAAAACTTGATAAATAATGACATTTTCAAAATGATTTTGTGCAAAGAATTTATTCTTTCACAGTAAAGGGCCATAAAGAGCATCCTTTAGTACAACGAATTAAATTTTCGTAGTAATACAAAAATCACATTACTGTGTTCCTTTAAATTACATTACTAAATAAATATTAGTTATCCCCTTTGCCATCCTCCAATAAACTTGAGGCATTTACATCAGAAATGTTAAACTTACTTGAACAAATGTTATTTAAATCATCTGTAGCTTGAGAAGCTAATTAGAAAGGAAAGGAGTGCTGTTTTGTGACTGTATTTATAGACCGTATTTCCCTTTGCAGTAAACCAAGAAGCCTGTGTGTGCAACAAAAGACTATCTAACAAGCTCTTGAATAAAGAGTAATCAGAAATTGCTACATAAAATATTTTCAATATTTTTCATACAAACCATGAGTACAGTGAAGCAATCTGGAGCAGTCACAATCTCAACTCTTAAAAATCACGTAATTAGTGCATAATTTCATTGGGAACTATGCCACAAGATTATAAGCAGAAATGCATTGGCTTTGAGGAGCATAGCTGCACCAGGTGACATCAACAAAGAAAATCTGGCTAGAATCAGAAACCTTGCCCGTGCTATTACAAAAGTCTATTTAACTATAATCACAATGTAGTAAACTACTGGAACGCTACTCCAGAGATATTTGTCATGTAGACAAATACAACAATCTTGTTTTTATCTGCACCATTTTAAAAAAGAGTAGCAAAGTTTGCAGTAAGTACATATGTACGGTTTGAATGGATGTTTGTGCTTATCACAGTGCATGTGCATACACATTGGGAAGGGATTTACTGCCCACAGAAATGCATAGGAATGTATTCTTTTAAACAACATACACCTGGAGTGCAATTTAAAAGCCTAAGAGGGATTTATGTAAAGCTTCAGGAAGAAAATGTTTTTAGAAACCATTCTGCTCTCAAAATAAGTGTTAGTTAAAATCTTAAGTTCAGACTAAAAAGGAGCAAATAGACATACTTAACTAAATTGCTGCAATTTCATAGGAAAAGCAACAGAGCAGAAAACCCATAAGACAATAGAGTTATCTAAATGAATAACTTTCATCATCATATTCAAGCTCATCTTCTTCATCATCCTCCAAAAGTCCATACCTAAATTTACGATAGACTGTGCCATCCTGACCCATGTATACAATATCATCTTCTTCATCATCATCTTCGATATCTCGATCTCTGTATTCAATCACTTGGTCTTCCTGATAGCTTGGGCTCTCATGATAATTGCTCGCATAGGAAGGAAGGGTTTTGGAGTCATTTGTCAGCTTCTCATACCTACCTTTACTGGCAGTGCGTGGTTTTGATTTTGATTTTCTCCAGATGGCTACAATGGCTCCAATGACAAGGATAAGTAAAATACAGATAATGACAAAGAAAGCGCTCTTGTTTTTGCTTGCTGGTGGTGACGTGGTTCGTAGCACACAGTCATCTGACAGCAACAATAAAATAAAATAAAATAAATTAAATTGTGTTTGTACATGAGAGTTGCTGAGTTTGTTTTAAAAGGCTAAGAATGCTTTGAGTGTGATGGTGTAAGTAAGCAAGGTTGTTGAGACAGCTTTGTTTCCTTATTAGACTAGCAGTATCCTGAAAGAAGCTGAGAAGCTAATAAGTAGACAAATACAGTCTTTCTATCTGAGAGTACGAAAGAAATGGACGATCTCTCCCCTTCCCAAGATATACTTTTCACTATCAAGCACCTAGAAAGACTTGAAGACAGGTTGTGTGCCCCGAGCCTGTTTTTCGTAATTGTATCAGTTTGCTCTATAAAAACATTTTTCTACCCTACAGATCATCAGTTGTATAAAACACTACAGCTGTTCTGAAGTTGACAGTATGATTTTGACTTAGGAGCTTAAAATTATGTGTTTCAAATTGCTATTCAAATTGCTATTTATTGAAGGCAAGTGTTTTATGAAAAGCTTGGCAACTTGGCACAATAGATGGGAATGAGAGAGGGTGGCAACTCCTGCACCAATTGCAATTGTTGTTATTTGGGTAAAGTCCTTCCTATTCTAGTGATGGAGCAGTAAAAATACACCACATATTTGTAGCTCAGCAGTACATTTTTGCTGTTTTCTACTTTTCACCATTAAAGTCAGCTTAATCAGACATAACACCCACCAGCAGCATTGCTGCCCCTCAGGATGGTCATACCTTGTGTTTCATTGCAGTCACAGCACTCTGGGATGTCTGCTGGGTCAGTGTCACTGCAGCAGGGTAGGCAGCGGCCTTCTTCCAGATAGAGCTGCATGCCAGCTGGGCAGATGGTACAGTTGAGAGGTCCAGGCCCCTTGCACTCCATGCATGTGCTGTCACATCTCTCACACTTTGTCTCATCCCCCTACAGACACAGAACAAACAATGCACCTTTCTTTTCATCTTCCTTGGCCCTAGATGTGACAGTGCTGTCCTAGATTCACTGAGTGGTCACATCTGGATGCCAAAGGTATCGATTTCAAAATACTGGAAGGAATAGGAAAACTGAAATTTTGTTAATACTTGTTAGGTTTGCACTGATCTACTTGTAGGAAGACGGATGAAGACTTGTATGAGCTTAGAGATCCGACTAAGCAAGACAGCTGGCTAGAACTCACTCCAAATATATGCTTTTTGTCCAAAAAGTGTTCTTCTTTTGCTAGTCCTGTTGTAATAGATTTGGCTCTTTGGCACTAATGATGTCAAAGCAGCCTTCAAAAAGTGTATTCAAGAATATAATTGGAAGTACTGAGATGGGAGAAGCAAGTGAAAATACATTGAGAGAAGAAAAATAAAAATAAAAAATAATCAACAGAAAGGAAAAAAACTAGAGAATTCATTCCTTTTCAGATTAGGAAAGGGACGGAAATAAGGAGTAAAGCCGGCTGGAAATTTTGTAGCAATCTAAATTTTTTTTAGTTCTCATTGGTTCTATTTCGCAGAAACACAGTGTCATGTGTGTCAATGGCTTGGGTTGGAAGGGAGGTTAAAGTTTACTTTGTTCCAACTCCCTGCCATGGGCAGGTCTGCCACCCACTAGATAAGGCTGCCCAGGTCTCCATCCATATTTGCCTTGAACATCTCCATGGATGGGGCATCCACATCTTCTCTGGGCAGCTTGTGCCAGAGCATCTCTACCATCTGCATAAAAGATTTCCTCATAATGTCTAATCTAAATCTTCCATCTTTTAGTCCTGTCACTATCAGACTATGTGAAATGATGGTCTACTTCTTTAATATAAGCTTCCCTCAAGTACTGAAAGTGTCCAGCGAGATTTCCTCAGAGCCTACTGAACAAGCCTACCTCCTTCAGCCTTACTTCATAGGAGAGGTGCTCCAGCTCTCTGATGATCTTCCTGGCTGGACTTTCTCCAACAGCTCCTCATTTTTTCATGTACTGAGGGCACCAGACCTGGACACATTACTCACAGTGGCAGAACAGACAGGGACAATCACCTCCCTGTCCCTGCTGGCTGCCCCTTTGTTGATGCAGCCTAAGGTACTGTTGTCCTCCTGGGCTGGAAGAAAATCTCCAGTTTTTCATTGACGAGATTATACCAGATTACCCAAATCGTTTTCTGGATGGCTCTCAAATGCTTCCAATCTGTACACACACCTGGGATTACACCAGCCCAAATGCAGCACCTTGCACTTGACCTTGTTGATTTGCCCACTTTTCAAGTTTGTCCAGATCCCTTTTGATGATATCCCTTCCTACTGCCATATCAGCTGCACCACTCAGCTCTGTCACTTGCAAACTTGCTGAAAGTGTACTCAATCTCACTATCTAGACCATCAATAACGATATTGAAGAACACCGGTGCTAAGAGGACAGATTCAAAAACTTCTCAAATTCCAAATACTACTGGTGCTCATCACTGTCATAGCTACTTTGCTGTATGTTGTGAGGCAATTCAGAGCTTCCAATGTTTGTATTTCCTGGCCTAATGGGAAATATGAGCTATTTTTTCTGCCACAGGACCAAGATCAACAAACCCACTGTAACAATCTGAAATGCCAGAAATCTTTCACCACTCTTAATCTCAGACCTGCAGGACTGCTTGTCCTGAATCTAAGAGGTTGGACAAAATATGGGGAGACAGCAGTAGATCTGGAGCTCTTAAAAAGAACTTTGCACCTCTGTGGTCCTCAGCTCCTAGGCTTTTTTTCAGGTTCACAGGTATGGAGCAGCACTTGTATGGGAAATTTCAAGCCAGAGACTTCAGGTTATGCAACGCCATTTTTTTTCTTTTTTGTGAGGCACTCAGCTCTGGGGCACACATTCTGCACCAAAGCAGAGAACTGCCTCAATGGGCAAGGGACAGCTCATTTCTGCTGGGTGCCATTGCCCTGCACTTAGAGGCAGATCTCTGATGTGTTGGGGTGGTGCCAAGAGCAGTGGGGCCACACATCAAGGTACAAAGGTGGCAGCTAGGGAGCACAGAGAACAGGATGGGTGAACAGAGCGTGGTGTGGCAGTTTGCTCAGGACAGGCAAGCAGGGCATGTTGCTCCTTTCATTCAGGACCGCAAGAAGAGAGCTCTATTAACACCAACATG